TTCATTCTTTGTAACAGGGGCATAATATTCCTTTGTATGAATGCTCCTTATGTGTTTATTGAAGCAGTTTCCTACAGAAGGACATACAAATGGTTTCCAGTCTTGCCATGAGCAAGGCAGTATACGTGCACACATATGAACAGCACACATTCACAAGCGAGGTTGCTGGGTCAAAAAGAACACACGTTTGCATGACTGACATACATCAGAATGCCTTTCATGAGAGATGTGCTTATTTAGTACTAGTAGTTGAATGTCAAAGGTGAAAGATTTACACGATCAGAAGAGAAACCAGAGTATTAGTTGTTGAATGGAGAGCTGTTGTACTGAGCTACAGCCCCATCCTTTTTTATTTTTCATTTTTAGGCAGGGACTCACTAATCACTAAGTTCCCCACACTGGAGTCAGTCTTGTGATCCTCCTGCCTTGGCCTCCCAAGTACTGGAATTTTGAGCAGACACCACCACACCCAGTGAGATTTTTTTTTCTTGTGTTTTTGAACTCTCACTATAGTTCACATACTTGGCCCATTTTTTTTTCCTCTTCACTTTTTAGATTTCTTGTTATTGATTTCTGGGAACTCTTTATATATGTACGTGGTAGAGTGACTGTGCATTTGCAGGGTTGTTTTGTTTATTTGTTTTGGGTTTAGTTTTTTTGAGACAGGACCTCACTATGTAGTTCAGGCTGGCCATGACCTCACTACTTAGCCCAGGCTGGCCTCAGACTTGTGGCAGTCCTCCTGCTTCAGCCTCCCAAGTGCTGGGATAACAGACATGCATCACCATGCCTAGTTCTTCAAAGCCTGACTTTGTCATTTCCTCACTCTGGCACTTGAAGGAGCCGCTCACCTTCTGTGCCTGAGTTTCTCCATGTGTAAAACGGAGTGAGAGAAGTCCTTCCCATGACGGTGCTGGCGGGGGTCTCTGTGTTTCCCGCAGGGTCGCAGCAGCACCTCCAAGGCCAAGAAGCCCCCTGGGGAGAACGACTTTGACACCATCAAGCTCATCAGCAACGGCGCCTACGGGTGAGCCACCCGGGGCTCTGGCGGGCGGGCAGGCTGGTGTCCCAGAGGTGACGCTGGTCCTGTCCCCTCCGCAGGGCTGTGTACCTGGTGCGGCACCGTGACACGAGGCAGCGCTTTGCCATGAAAAAAATCAACAAGCAGAACCTGATCCTGCGGAACCAGATCCAGCAGGCCTTTGTGGAGCGCGACATCCTCACCTTCGCCGAGAACCCCTTCGTGGTTGGCATGTTCTGCTCCTTTGAGACGCGGCGCCACCTCTGCATGGTCATGGAGTACGTGGAAGGTGCGTGCCTGCCAGGCTGCAGGTGGCCTGGGCACCTGCGGGCTACACAGTGACTGGCTGACTTCTTCTTGCAGACGGGGTCTCACCGTGTAGCTCAGGTGGGCCTTGAGCACCGGGAGATCCTCACGCTTCTGCCTCCCAAGGTCTGGGGTTACAGCAGTGGGCCACCACACTCAGCCCTGTCTCTCTTCCCCGTCTTTTGTTTTGTTTGTTGGATTTTTGAGACAGGGTCTTGCTATGTGTAGTCCAGGCTGGCCTTGAACTCGTGGTGATCCTCCTGCCTCAGCCTCCTGAGTGCTGGGATCCCAGGCGTGTGTGCCACCACGCCCACCTTCTCTTCCTCCTTTCTCCCCATCCAGCCAGGGACCTGTTCACCAGTCAGCCATGTATATTCGTATCTCTCTGCTTTTCATTTCACTCATGCACATCCACCGCCCGGTGACTGGTTACCCGCCAGCCAGCTCCTTCCAGCCGTGGTTACTCACCCATCCCTGAAGCTGTGCACCTGTTTTTTAATTAATTACTAATTAACTATTTTTTCTTTTTTACAGTACTAGGGTTTGAACCCAGTACTGGTACCAAATAAATAAATAAATAAATAAATAAATAAATAAAATTTAAAGCCAGGAGTGGTGGTCCACCCCTGTCATCCCAGCAGTTGGGAGGCTGAGGCAGGATGAACCCAGGCACTCACTCAAGTTGCACAAGAGCTCTATTAGTGAGCTACAGCTCCAGCCTTTTAAAAATATTTATTTATTTATTTATTTGGAGACAGGGTCTCATTATGTAGTTCTGGCTGGCCTTCAACTCATTACTATGTAGCTCAAGCTGGCCTGGAACTCATGATGAACCACCTGCCTCAGCCTCCTGAGTGCTGGGATGACAGGGGTGGACCACCACTCCTGGCTTGAAATTTTATTTACTTATTAATTTACTTACTTACTTACTTGGTACCAGGAATTGAACTCAGGACCTTGCACTTGCTGGGCAGGTGCTTGTGCTGCTGGGCTATAATCCTGCCTGTAAATTTTATAGGGTCTCACTAAGTTGCCCAGGGCCGAGTGTGAACTCATGACCTTCCTGTCCCTATTTCCCAAGTAGGTGGGATTTCAGGCCTATACCCCTGCACCCAGCATCTACCCATACTTTTATTCATTCATCTAAATCTGTATTTTAATATCCATCTCATTCATCTATTTATCTCTCTGTTATCGATCCTCAATCTCTGTTATACTATTCTCTCTTTATCTCTCTCTGTCTCTGTCTCTCTGTCCCGCTCTGTCTGTCTAATAGAAATTGAACCAAAGACCGTCACACTGAGCTATACCCCCTTTCCATTTAGTTACCTTTTTGTTGTTTTTTTTCCGGTACCGGGAATCAAACTCATGACCTCATGCTTGCCAGGCAGGCACTGTGCTGCTGAGCTAAATCCCCAGCCCCCTCATTTAGTTACCTTTTATTTTGAGGCTGGGTCTCAGTAAGTCACTACATTGCCCAAGCTGGGCTCAAAGTTTTGATTCTCCTGCCTCAGCCTTCTCGAGTTCTGGGATGACAGGTGTGTGCCACTATGCCTGGCTACTATCTCTGTATTGTGCTATTATCTATCATTGGTCTTTGTTATATCTATCCTCTATTGGGCCAGGGATATAGCTCAGCAGTACAAGCACCTGCCTGGCAAGTGCAAGGTCCTGAGTTCAATTCTTGGTACCAAAAAAAAAAAAAAAAGCCAGGTGTGGTGGCACACGCCTGTAATCCCAGCATTCAGGAGGCTGAGGCAGGAGGATCACTGCAAGTTCAAGACCAGCCTGGGCTACAAAGTGAGCTCAAGGCCAGCCTGAACTGCATAGCGAGGCCTTGTCTCAAAAAGACAGAAATAAATAAATAAAATATCATCTATGTATTATCTATCTTCCTGTGACACTATCACCTGCCATTTATTTGCTATAGACGGTCTCTAGTATATTTATCCCATTGACTCCACTGACCCTCTATTCTCTCTTTATCATAGCTCACCAGGGCCCTCCCCGAGCCCACAATTCACACACCAGTTTCTCTGTCCGTCCCTTTCTCCATCCATCACCCTGTATTTACCAGGACACTCGTGTGACGTCACAGGGCACAGCTGTGCTGCCCCACGCCTTAGCTAACCTTCCAGTCACTCAGCAAACATCGCTGTGGTCTCCCTTGTACCACCTTCTGCTTTAGGCGCTGCTTACGTTCTGGTCCTCACGGGGGACAGCGAGCACCAGGAGGCTGGAGGAGCTGGCGTGGAGGTGGCCAGCAGGAGCCTCTGCAGGGGCTGTGTTATACGAGGGAAGGTGACCCTGGAATGTGATTTTTTTTTTTTTTTTTTGAGATAGGGTCTCACTATGTAGCCCAACTCACAGCGATCCTCCTGCCTCAGCCTCCTGAGTGTGTGTGGGGGTTACAGGTGTGCCTCACTCTGCCTGGCTGGAATATGGATTTTGAGGAGCAGCAAAGAGCCAGTGGATCTGGAGTCCAATGAAAGATGGGAAAGGAGGATGTGGAGAGGGTGGGCTGGCCGTGCAGGGCCTGTCAGAGCCCAGACGGCGCTGGATTTTATCCCAAATGCAACAGAAGCCACTGGAAGGGTTTAATCCCAGTTGACAGGGTCTGGCTTGTGTTTTATGAAGCTCCATTTGGCTTGGTGTAGTGGCACACACCTGTCATCCCGGCTACCTGGGAGCCTGAGACAGGATTGCAAGTTCAAAGCCAACCTCGGCCAATTAGCGAGGCCTGTCTCAAAAGAAAATTTTAAAAGGGATGGGGGTGTAGCTTAGTGGTAGAGTATTTGCATAGTATGTGTGAGGCCCAGGGTTTCATCCCTGGCACCAAAAACAGAGATCCATTTGACTGCCATGGAGGGCTGGAGACCAGGGTGGTAGAGAGGACTCAACCAGTCCAGTGATGAGGGTGGAACTGAGAGACCTCTTTGGCGAGTGGCGCACTCCAGAGCGCTGTCCGCAGGGCCTCCTGGGCGTGGGCGAGCCCCGGAGTACCATTCACAAGTCACCCCAGCTGGGTGTGGTGGCGCGTGCCCAAAATCTCAGCACTCGGGAGGGTGAGGCAGGAGGATCACTGGAAGTTAGGGGCCAGCCTGGGCTACAGAGTGAGTTGAAGACCAGCCTGAATTACATAGCAAGACCCTGTCTCAAAAAAAAAAAACAAAACACAAGACCTAAAAAAAGTCACCACAGCTGGATTTTCAGCATAAATTGGATATCAGAATTACGGCTAAATGCAGATTCCTGCAGCCTGCCCTCAGAGTCTGAAACCATCTAAATCTAGCTTTTTTAACAAAAGGAAAAAAACAAAGTAATGTATGGATTCATGGGATCAAAAAAATCACCACCACCTTCAGGAATGGCTGTATTCAGGTGCTTTAAACACATATGAATCTTTTATCTCCTGGGACTTCTCTCCGTGCCCTGCATGTATGGGTTTCCTCCAAACTAGTCCTGATGGCCGAGAGTGGTAGTGCACGCCTGTAATCCCAGCACTCAGGAGGCTGAGGCAGGAGGATCATTGGGAGTTCAGATCAGCCTGGGCTAAAAAGTGAGCTCAAGGTCAGCCTGAACTGCATAGCAAGACCCTGTCTCAAAAAGACAAAAAACAAACAAACAAACAAACAAGTCCTGATGTAGATTCCATCTATGAGTTCAGCAATCTTTGTGATAAAAGAACACAAATTCTGAGGGCTACTCTCTGGAATGACCTGCCCTGCTGACTCAGGTACTATACCTGGCAGGAAATCTAGCACTTAGAAGGAAAGTGGGGGAATGGATGTTGGGGAAACTATAATATCAGTGTCGATAGCTCAGTGGTAGCATGCTTGTCTAGCATGCATAAGGCCCTAAATTCAATTCCTAGCACTGCAGAAATAAAACAAGCTGGGTACAGTGGTAAGGTGGTGCACAGTTGTAATTTCAGCACTCTAAGGGGCTGAGGCAGGAGAGTTGCAAGTTCAAGCACAGTCTGGGGTGTGACTTAGCAAGATCCTGTCTCAAAAAGAAAGAAGAGAAAGAAGGAGAGAAAAAGAGAAAAGCCTGGAAAAGGGCAGCTCCCTGAGAGACTGAGGAAGATGGAGGCCGCTCCATGGGCCTCAGTTTTCCCCATCTACAAAATGGGTACAATGGAGCACGATTACTGGTGCTGCAGTTTGTGTCCTATGGTCAGCTTTGGTCCCAGGTTCCTCCCTTCTCATATGACCCTGTCACTGGGCCTGCAGGCGGTGACTGTGCCACCTTGCTGAAGAATATCGGGGCGCTGCCAGTGGAGATGGCCCGCATGTACTTTGCTGAGACGGTGCTGGCACTCGAGTACCTGCACAACTATGGCATTGTGCACCGTGACCTCAAGCCAGACAAGTGAGTTTGACCTCGCCCGTCCCTCCCTGCCCCTGGAAGCCCGAGATGGCCTAGCCCCTGAGACCCGCCTGTGTCTGCAGCCTGCTCATCACCTCCATGGGCCACATCAAGCTCACCGACTTCGGGCTGTCCAAAATGGGGCTCATGAGCCTGACCACCAACCTGTACGAAGGCCACATTGAGAAGGACGCCCGGGAGTTCCTGGACAAGCAGGTGTGTGGTGGGCGTGGGGGTCCCGAGGGTGGAGCCGCCCTGCAGGACCCCGGGGACCCACGCCCTCGGGGGTGGGTGCGGCTGCTGCTGGAGGTCCCCCTGCGGCCAGGGCGCGGGCTGACCACCTGCCCCCAGGTGTGCGGGACCCCTGAGTACATCGCGCCCGAGGTCATCCTGCGCCAGGGCTACGGAAAGCCGGTGGACTGGTGGGCCATGGGGATCACCCTCTACGAGTTCCTGGTGGGCTGCGTGCCCTTCTTTGGGGACACTCCGGAAGAGCTCTTCGGACAGGTCATCAGTGGTACGTGCCTCCTGCGTGGCTGGCCGGGCCCCACAGCCCCCGCAGCCGCCCTTAGCTCCGCGGTGCCTTGCAGATGACATCCTGTGGCCCGAGGGGGACGAGGCGCTGCCCGCAGATGCCCAGCTGCTGATTTCCAGCCTCCTGCAGACCAACCCCCTGGTCCGGCTAGGGGCAGGTGAGGCCGGTGGGTGGGGAGCAGGACACCGTGACCCCCGCCAGCCCGCTTCGGGGCCCTGGGGCAGAAGTCAGCAGGTGACAGACGGGCGGCCATCAACTCTCGCTGCTTCCCTTCTCTCCCAGGCGGCGCCTTTGAGGTCAAGCAGCACAGCTTCTTTCGAGACCTGGACTGGACGGGGCTGCTGAGGCAGAAGGCCGAGTTCATCCCCCATCTGGAGTCGGAGGATGACACCAGCTACTTCGACAGTGAGTGGTGATGGGGCGCGCTGGCGGAAGCTGGGAGGAAATCTGTGGGCACCTGGATGAAGTGGAGGCTGCTGGGGGCGGGGCGTGTGGGCGTGGTCCAGCCTAGGGGCGGGGCTAGAATGAGAACTAGATAAGAGCTGAAAATTAGGTAGGAGCTGCAGGTGTAGCGCAAGCCTCATTTTAGCACTCTGGGAGGCCGATGGCAGAGGATTACAAGTTCGAGTCCAGCCTAGGTAACTTAGTGAGACCCTGTCTTAAAATACAGAGTTTTAAAAAGGGTTGGAGATGTAGCTCCGTGGAAAGGCAGGCCCTGAAATCAATCCTCAATACCGCGGGGCGTGATGGCGCACACCTGTAATCCCAGCACTCGGGAGGCTGAGGCAGGAGGATCGGTGCAAGTTCGAGGCCAGCCTGGGCTACAAAGTGAGCTCAAGACCAGCCTGAACTGCGTAGTGAGACCCTGTCTCAAAAAGACAAAAAAAAAAAAAAAAAAAATCCTCAATACCATGCGTGTGCGTGCACACACACAAACGTGCGCTCATGTGAACCAGGAGGCACTGAGGTGAGTTAGGAGTGCAGCCTGAACAGTTCAAAGACAGCCCTGGGCTGGACCAAGAAGACAAGTCGGGGCTTGGAGCTGTGGGTGGAATCTGAGGGCGTGGCCTCTCTGGGGCGGAGCTAGGCAAAGGGCCTGGGACCAGGGCTGGGGTCGGAGCCTGAGCTCCTTGGAGCAGGAGGCGGAGACGCGGCCTGAGCTGCAGGCCTGGCCGGACCCGGTCCTGCTCCGAGGTGTTGTCGCCCACAGTCAAGGCCTGCACCCCTCCCCAGCCCGCTCCGACAGGTATCACCACGTGAACTCCTATGATGAGGATGACACGACGGAGGAGGAACCCGTGGAGATCCGGCAGTTCTCCTCCTGCTCCCCGCGTTTCAGCAAGGTGGGGCCAGGCTGGGCTAGGGCTGGCGAGGTTGTGAGGAGCAGATAGAGGTGACAGGTGACAGCAGGGTCCCAAGGCCCCAGGTCTCCTACTGGATGGACCGTTGCTGAGGAAGGGGAGTCAGGGATGGTGACTTGGGGAGACAGGATGAGGGCTTGAGGGACAGGTCCTCGGCACTGAGAGGAGTAACTGGAACCTGGAGGGTCATGCCAAGGCCTACCCCGGCGTGGGGCTAGGTCTTGACCTGGAAGAACCAGGGCATACCCCAACATTCCGGGAGGCCAAGGAGGACTGCAAGTTTGAGTCTCACCTAGGTAATTTTTGATTCAAAATAAAAAACATCTAAAAGAAAGGGCTGGGGATGTAGCTCGGGGCGAAGGCTCTGGGTTGCATCCCAGCATCAAAGAAAAAAAAAAGGGGACAGGGAATGGGGCCGAGCTGAGCAAGGGGTTGCTTTGAGGAGCTTTGGGGAGGGACGCGGGCCGCCCGGGAGCGGGGCCTGGGAAGATGGGTGGGCTAGGTGGCTGGGGCGGGACCTAGCTGATAGGCGGGCCTCGAGTCACCCCGGCTGAGCGTGGTTTGGCGGGTCCCGGGTCAGGAAGCTGACTAGGTCTAGAGCAAAGGCAGGACCCCTCTTGCAGGTATACAGCAGCATGGAGCAGCTGTCGCAGCACGAGCCCAAGACCCCGGTAGCGGCAGCAGGGGGCAGTAAGCGGGAGCCAAGCACCAAGGGCCCGGAGGAGAAGGTGGCCGGCAAGCGGGAGGGGCTGGGCGGCCTGACCCTACGCGAGAAGACCTGGAGAGGGGGCTCCCCCGAGATGTGAGCAGGGCAGGGTGGGGATGGGGGCGGGGCGCGGGGGCGTGTCTCCGCTGACCACGCCCCCTCCGCAGTAAGCGCTTCTCCGCGTCGGAGGCCAGTTTCCTGGAGGGCGAGGCCAGCCCGCCCCTGGGCGCCCGTCGCCGGTTCTCCGCGCTGCTGGAACCTAGCCGCTTCAACGTCCCGCAGGAAGATGAAGATGAGGCCCGGCTGCGCAGGCCGCCCCGGCCCGGCTCTGATCTTCCAGGCTCACTGGAGGCGCGGGCGTCCAAAGAGGGGGCTCCAGGGGAAGGCGCCCCCAGTGCCGGGGACTCAGAGGCCAGTGAGTCCCGCCTTCTGTGCCTTTCCCAGTTCCCCAGTGGCGATATCTTCAGCGCAAACCGAGGCTAGTGCCCTTTATAAAAGATCTCATATGCTATTGGCATACCAACGTGAGACCTCATTAACATCAGAAACACCCACGTGCCACCCCGGAGAGGGACATGCACCGCACGCACTGAGGCCTTCCTCCTTTGTATCGCAAGCGACTCCCAATGCTCTGCCCTGATGCAATTCACAACCCAGCTGCTGAAGGACATGCGTGGGACGAGCATTTTGGGCAAAGGGACAGCATGCTGGAAGTCCCTGGCGGTAGACCGACCCCTAACCCACCTACTTTCTTGCAGTTGAACGCCCACGTCCAGGTGACCTCTGCCCACCCTCAAAGGAAGGGGACCCATCAGGTCCTAGGGCCACCAATGACCTAGTTCTGCGCCGGGCGCGGCACCAGCAGCTGTCAGGGGACCCGGCAGTAGAGAAGCGGCCTTCTCGAACCGGGGGCAAAGTCATCAAGTCAGCTTCAGCCACTGCCCTGTCTGTCATGATTCCTGCAGGTAATGCTGGGCCCTGACCATCAGGAAAAGGAATGCCCAATTTTGAGCCAGGTCAGGCCAAAGAAAATACTATGTGAAGCCGGGCATGGTGGCGCACGCCTGTAATCCCAGCACTCAGGAGGCTGAGGCAGGAGGATCGTTGCGAGTTCAAAGCCAGCCTGGGCTACAAAGTGAGCTCAAGGCCAGCCTGAACTGCATAGTGAGACCCTGTCTCAAAAAGACAAAAAAAAGAAAGAAAGACAGAAAAAGAAAATACTATGTTTTCCTAGCCCACAGTGATTGATTCCAGGAGCGACCAGTGAAAATCTGCTGTGGGACTTTCACGCGGGAGGAGGGAGGAGCAGATACTCGGGCACTATGTGTGGGTGGTCCTGACATCTGACCATGGCTCTGTCTGCAGTGGACCCGCATGGAAGTTCACCCCTTGCTAGTCCTATGTCCCCACGATCGCTCTCCTCCAACCCCTCCTCGAGGGACTCCTCACCCAGTCGGGACTACTCCCCAGCTGTCAGTGGGCTCCGCTCCCCCATCACCATCCAACGATCAGGCAAGAAGTACGGCTTCACACTTCGAGCCATCCGCGTCTACATGGGTGACTCGGATGTCTACAGCGTTCAGCACATTGTTTGGGTAAGCACTCCCTCCTGGGGCTTGTAGTCACGGGTGAGGAGTAGACAAGGACCTCAGGATGAGGGATAGTTCAAGTTCTGAAGCTACGCAGCATGAGTGAAATTCTTTTGTGACTCCCTCTTTCACCTACCTCTCCACCCCTCGGTTTCCTCATCTGTAAAATGGGGAGGAAAAATGCCTCTTTGGTAAAGTGTCATGAAGACTCTAGTGCAGGCCAAGCCAGGTGTGTGGCACATAAGCTTATTACCAATCCTGCTACCCTTGTCCCCAGCACGTGGAGGAAGGGGGTCCTGCCCAAGAAGCAGGGCTCTGTGCGGGAGACCTCATCACTCACGTGAACGGGGAACCTGTGCATGGCATGGTACATCCTGAGGTCGTGGAGCTGATCCTTAAGGTGAGAGCAGAGAGGGAGAAATGGGTGGAAGGCGGCCGGGTTTTAGGCGGCCCCTGAAAAGCATTCCTTCCCTTCTTCCCCCAGAGCGGCAACAAGGTGGCAGTGACCACCACACCTTTTGAAAATACTTCCATCCGCATTGGACCCGCAAGACGCAGCAGCTACAAGGCCAAAATGGCAAGGCGGAACAAGAGGCCCTCTGCCAAGGAAGGCCAGGAGAGGTGGGCGGGGCCCCAAGCAGTCAGGCTCTAAGCAGTGGGCGGGGCCAAGGCGGCAGAGGCCCGGGGGAGGGCCACAGAAAGGCAGGGACCAAAGAGTTAAGAGGAGCTGGAAAAGTGCAAGGAGTCAGGACAGGAAGCTGTGCCCATCTTTTTTTTTTGGTCTTTTTAAGACAGGGTTTCGCTGTGCACTTGCTGGCCTTGAACTCATTTTGTAGCTGAGGCTGGCCTCGAACTCACAACGATCCTCCTGCCTCAGCCTCCCGAGTGCTGGGATTACAGGAAATGAGCCACCACGCCCAGCTGCATCTTCTAAGCCAAGCAGAAAGCACTGTGGGCGGGTGGGCAGTAGATGTGGAGTCGTGGGAGGAGTGAGTCCAGTCACAGGTCCTGCCCTGTTAGATGTGTTTGGACAGCCTGGGAGGGGTAGCCTAAGAGATCTCTATCAGGAATGACTGTGCCCGGCAAGACTGAAGTAGTCATGCTTGGCTCAAGGACAGCATGCATCCTGATAAGTGCGCTGCTATTTCCTGCTTGTTCAAACATCACAGAGTGAGCTTTCACACCTCAGGGCTGTGACACACTTTCATGGGGCTATTGTGTACAGTATATGTGGCTTTCCCTGAGCCAAATGTCTTTCTGTGCTGCGCGCCTGTAATTTCCTTACCGATCGGAGGAGGTAGGGGAGGAAGATGGGATCCAAAGGGTGTTTGGTTTTATATATCGTTGTTGGGTTCTGGGGAAGAAACCCAGGGCCTCCTGCGTGTGAAGCCAGCGCTCCTGCGCTGTACACCCCAGCCTCAAGGGTGTTGTTTTGGTCAGTGGGTTTGGCCTGGACACCAAGTGGGGATCTGAATGAGATGAGCCCGCTAAGGCTGTCGAGTGAGTCAATCCTAAGAGTGGGTTGTAGCAGAAGGAGGGGCTAGGCAAGTGGGGAGGCAGAGGAGTTGGTTTGTTTGGGTTGGTGTGTCTAGCTTCACCGGGGAATGTCCAGAATGGATGGGAGGAGCAAAGTGGGACTGGGCTCTGGGAAGTTCTTTCTGCCTTGATTTATAGATTGTAGCTAACCTGGGCCTGGTGGAGATGCCTGTTATCTTAGCATGGGGGAGGCAGGAGGATCGCTGTGAGTTCGAGGCCAGCCTGAACTTTATAGCAAGACCCTGTCTCAAAAAAGGGGGGGGGGGCTGTAGCTAAAAGAGGTGGGCGGTTACAGGGGCTGTCTTGCCCCCCAGAAGTGGGAGGAGCCGGGAGCTCTGGAGGCTGCTCAAGGGTTAAGTGGCCATCTCCCTGTCCACAGCAAGAAGCGCAGCTCCCTCTTCCGGAAGATCACGAAGCAGTCGAACCTACTGCACACGAGCCGCTCGCTGTCGTCACTGAACCGCTCGCTGTCGTCCAGCGACAGCCTCCCGGGCTCCCCGACGCATGGGTTACCAGCGCGCTCGCCCACGCACAGCTATCGGTCCACGCCGGACTCCGCCTACCTAGGTAGCTCTGCACCGGGCATCGTGTGGCACGGGGTGGCAATGTCTGGGGACCTCCCTGAGCCGCACGCCCCCTCTGGCCCGCAGGTGCCTCGTCTCAGAGCAGCTCACCCGCCTCGAGCACGCCTAACTCTCCGGCGTCGTCTGCGTCGCACCACATCCGGCCCAGCACGCTGCATGGGTTGTCGCCCAAGCTGCACCGCCAGTACCGCTCTGCACGCTGCAAATCGGCTGGCAACATCCCGCTGTCGCCGCTGGCGCACACGCCGTCCCCGACGCAGGCGTCACCGCCCCCGTTGCCAGGCCACACGGTGGGCAGCTCACACACCACGCAGAGTTTCCCAGCCAAGCTGCACTCGTCGCCGCCCGTCGTGCGCCCGCGCCCCAAGAGCGCAGAGCCCCCGCGCTCGCCGTTGCTCAAGCGCGTGCAGTCAGCGGAGAAGCTGGGTGCTTCGCTAGGTGCCGACAAGAAGGGCGCGCTGCGCAAGCACAGCCTAGAGGTTGGCCACCCCGACTTCCGCAAGGATTTCCATGGGGAGCTGGCGCTGCACAGCCTAGCAGAGTCCGACGGCGAGACCCCGCCTACCGAGGGACCTGGCGCCACGCGGCAGGTAGCAATGCGCCGCCTGGGCCGCCAAGAGTCGCCCCTGAGTCTAGGTGCGGACCCGCAGCCAGATGGCACCCCTAGGCAGGGGTCCTCGAGCAAGGACAGGGAGTCCCCTGGTGGCGGGGCCGAGGCCTGCACACCACCCCGCACTACGGCCCTTGGTGCCCGGACCCTGGAGCGGGACGCGGGCTGCACGCGACACCAGGGCGTGCAGACAGAGGACGGCGCGGGCGGGATGGCCAGGGCTGTGGCTAAGGCGGCCCTGAGCCCAGTACAGGAGCACGAGACCGGCCGGCGCAGCAGCTCGGGCGAGGCCTGCGTGCCCCCGGTACCCATTGTAGTAGAGCCTGCACGGCCTGGGGTCAAAACCGTGGCACCCCAACCTCCAGGCATGGACCCCAAGGCACTGCCAGAACCTGCGACCCAGGCAACGGTGGCACCCGAGGCCCCACGGGGCCGGGAGCGCTGGGTGCTGGAGGTGGTGGAGGAGCGGACCACGCTGAGTGGACCCCGCTCCAAGCCCACTTCCCCCAAGCTCTCCCCGGAACCCCAGGCCCCGACACCAGCCCCTACAAAGAATGCACCCAGCAGCACTGCAGGGTCCCCAGCGCCACCCACTTCCCTTCTGGTCCCCAGCACCAAACCTGATGCAACCATCAGCTCCCGGGGCCCTGCTGAAGCTACGCCTCCAGTAGGCTTGACCAAAAAAGGGGTTTCCAGCTCTGCACCCCCAGGCCCATAGCCAAGGAGCCCACTGGTCCTTCTGTACAGCCACCTGTATACATTGTACACATATAAATAAAGTGCGTCCATACTGCGTGAGTTTTCAGGGCACACTTTCTTCCCTGGCAAGTCAAAGCATCAAGTGTACCTGTGTCCATGCCCCTGGACTGGTTAGGAGAGGAGAGGTAGGTTCCTAGGATCCTGAACTTCTAGTTTGTTACCTTTCACTTGCTGTCCCTAGCCCTTAAGAACAACCAAGGAAGGCAAGAGTGGTGGCTGCAATCCCAGCACTCCGGGAGGCTGAGGCAAGAGAATCTCAAATTTGAGTCCAGCGTGGGTAACTAAGCAATTTAATGAGGCCATGTCTTGGGGAAGGAAAAAAAAAAGTCTGGAAATATAGTTCCATGTGAAGGCCCTGGGTTCAGTCCCCAGCCCAAACAAAACAAAGCAATAGAAAGTAAAGGTTGCACACTGATCTGTATCCCACACCCGCTGGAAGAAACATTAACAGCTTCATTCACCAATTTCCTTTTTCCTCAATAGTCTTGAGTGGTACATGATATGGTTCACATTTTGCAGATGAATGGGCTGAATCACAGACAGGCTAAGGCACAGAAGGTCATACAAGGAGGGGATGACTTGGAATTCAAACGCAAGTCCAGGGCCGCGCGTGGTGGCGCATGCCTATAATCCTAGCACTCCGGAGGCTGAGGCAGGAGGATCGTGGCAAGTTCAAAACCAGCCTGGGCTACAAAGTGAGCTCAAGGCCAGCCTGAACTGCATAGTGAGACCCTGTCTCAAAAAGC